TTCAGAATGGAATTCATTCAAGGGAACACTACTAGTAACGAGCACTAGGGCTGGATTCTGCTCGGTTAATCGAAGGCTTGCAAAACAGCGGACGTTGCGCTAGAGTTTTGCAAGCAGGCTTGTGGTTTGATTTGCCTCCCGCTTGCTACCGGAGGGAACTTCCGGTGAGTTGTGACTCGCGGACAGTCCTACTGTACTGTGTCGTGACGTCGCGAACTCTCGTGGCAGTGGGCTCAGTACATACATATATTACAGAAGATTCTCTGGTTATTTGCGTTGAGAGGCTTGCACCAAAAGTGCAAGATCGGTTGTTGTTTTTTCATAGTTCGGTTGTAAAAAACAAAAAGCTCTATTCAATGCACTTAAAATTAATATTGGATCGGCTATTCTTATAATGTTAAAGGCCTGTTTATTTTTAATGTGCACGAGCCAAGCGCTTCATCGTCGCACGCAAAAGACCTCAGTTCGATTCCCGTATGGGGAGAAATTTTTACTGAGAACCTCCGTCTTTCTGCTGGGGCGTTGTTCCCTCTCAGCCCAGGTTGGCCCTGACATTGGGTTGAAGTAGGCCTAGCCCGTCTCCTAAATGTTCTGTATTATGTCACTGTGAGTGTAACACATCTACAAAATAGGTTACATATACGATACAAAAGCCAATCACAACGACCCCTGGAGTTTTCCATTTTAGGGTAATCTAAGTCAACTTATTCTTATATTACTACCAGAAACCTAGGTCTCTGTTACTACAATACCACGCTCCCTCTCACTTATCCATTCGCTTAGCTGATCAACGGCGGGAAGTTAAAAATAACTCCAGCTCTCTACGCCTTGCACCAAAACAAGCCCAGCCTCTCCCTTCCTCCAGGGTTCAAAGTTCACACAGCCAACAGTACTGTCTTGCTGTTTGAACACATCGAACTGTCTTGTCGCCTTCAAGACGGTCCTACGCCATCGAGCGATACCGTGGTGTGCCGCTCGCTCGGTGTATCGAGACAGTACAAGTCAGCAGGTCAGGTTTGGGGCAAGTCTCTAGGCCTAGCGCAAAGCAGTACTGTGTGAATTGTGGGGCCTCTGGCTGCGGACGGGACTTGAGGCTTGCGCAGGCCTTCGATTAATCGAGTAAACTACAGCGCCAATCCGCGCAGTGACTCTGTGGGCGAGATCTTTCACTCTCCCCCTCTCTCTTTTTCTGATGTAAGTGGCTTCGCGGATTGCAAGCAGGGTGGGGATGATGAGGGGGCCTGACACGAGTGGCTTCGCGGATTGCTAGTTGCTGTGGACTTGAAGTTTAGACTAGACCAAGGAGGTTACAGTTTGCGCTAGACTCAACTTATCATGCTGGTGATTTGATTTGATGATTTGACCTAGTGATTTGAGGCTTGTGACTTGAACTAGGGGCTTGTGAGCACGAGCGGGTTTGCTACCGGGGTACAGCCCTAACGAGCACCACTTTGGGACAGAGTATAGAGGAGGAGGGCTAGGGGTTGGGGCCGTAGGTTAGGGTAGTTCTCTTCTTTATAGTGTTTTTTGGGGTGGTCACTCATTATAGAAGTCCCCCGCATTCAATGATATTTCTGCTGAACTGAGCTGTACAAATATTATTTTATATAAATAAATAAACATGATATTGACAATAAAAAGAATAATTTTATTAAAATTCAAGGTTTCTCGATCAGTAGAGCAATGCTTTTTTGCGCAAATTTTTGTTTTCTTCGTCTTTTAATAAAATTTTAGTATTTATTTATTTTTCTAAACCATGGTAGCGTTCACGCTTGTTAACCTCAGTAGCCCTTAAATAATGTCTCTATGATTAGTAAGTTAATTAAGTATTATAAGACGTGGCGTGAAAAGAGTTTATGGCGGAGTCTTAGAAGTCTAAAGACACACATTTTATATTCGAAGTGCCTGCCAGTCTAAAGACACACATTTTATATTCGAAGTGCCTGCCAGTCTAAAGACACACATTTTATATTCGAAGTGCCTGCCAGTCTAAAGACACACATTTTATATTCGAAGTGCCTGCCAGTCTAAAGACACACATTTTATATTCGAAGTGCCTGCCAGTCTAAAGACACACATTTTATATTCGAAGTGCCTGCCAGTCTAAAGACACACATTTTATATTCGAAGTGCCTGCCAGTCTAAAGACACACATTTTATATTCGAAGTGCCTGCCAGTCTAAAGACACACATTTTATATTCGAAGTGCCTGCCAGTCTAAAGACACACATTTTATATTGGAAGTGCCTGCCAGTCTAAAGACACACATTTTATATTGGAAGTGCCTGCCAGTCTAAAGACACACATTTTATATTGGAAGTGCCTGCCAGTCTAAAGACACACATTTTATATTGGAAGTGCCTGCCAGTCTAAAGACACACATTTTATATTGGAAGTGCCTGCCAGTCTAAAGACACACATTTTATATTGGAAGTGCCTGCCAGTCTAAAGACACACATTTTATATTGGAAGTGCCTGCCAGTCTAAAGACACACATTTTATATTGGAAGTGCCTGCCAGTCTAGCTGTCCACTCTAAAGGTCAGGCCCACTTGACCAAAAGCTGCTATTGGCCCCGGTCGTTTCTCTCCCTCTATGGTTCTGGTGTCATTAAAATTGACAAATGGCGACGAAACTGTAAACCCTTTTTGTTCCTCTTTTAGAATCTGCTTTCCTTGATCAAATAAGCAGTTAGATCTATAGTTCGAGAGAATTATAAATACAATATCCCAAAAATAAAAAATTGTATTATAGGTAGACTAACACTTTTTTTGAAAAATACACAAGAAATTCAAACATCTAGAGAGATGACGACATACGTCATAAGTGACACCTGCTTTTTCAGATGACCATAGTATGATAGTTCATTTGTTTCTTTATCAGTTTGAATGAAATTTAATTTCAAATAAACGTTCATCATTCTTCTTCAACTAAGAAGTGAGAGATAATAGAGAAAGATTTTATGGAATTCAATATAATACACCGCACCAATTAATGTGGTCCCTCAATAATGGCCTCCCATCAATGAACAGTAAAACGCACACAGAATTTGAGGCAATTTTAGTGAGAAATCAATAAAATTCATGACTATGAACCAAAACGAGAAGAACAATTTGCTTTTTGATTCTCTACATGTCATATCTTTGACATTATATTGACTTTGTGTTTAAAAGAAAAATGTTGAGTACACAGGTCTCATAAGTAATTATTCAGGTTTAAAATGCATGCATGTCAGTAGGGCACCTTTTAGTATCGTCTAAAACATATTCTTTAGGTATTGCAAACTAAAATTTTATTTACAATTCAGTACAACTAGCCTGGCAGTCTAGCCGGTATTAACCCTATCCGTACGTCGTGTTTTACTGTCGAATCCATACGACGTGGGGAACTCTGTGCCACCACTTTCCAAAGTAGAAATTTATTCGTTTTTAATCCAATCCGTACGCTTTGCATAGCAGTCTGTCGAAATTATTTTTTATAAATACTGAAAGTTTCAAAGAGATCTTCATACTAGAAGTTTTCTAAAATGTGAAGAATACGACCCCAGGGGTACAAAAAAATGACCTCAGGGCGTAGGGATAGAGTTAAGTACGGCTAGCCTCTTCCTTTTCAGTTTTTTAGCACATTTCTGGAAAATGTTCATCATGTGATGCATGGGTCTGGGAGTTTTGTGTTACAAAGTGTGTGTTGACTGTATAGAACTCTGTATTGTAAATTACTATATATAATATATGTTTATTAATACAAATCATTGGTATTAATGACATGGTCTCACCATGCAATAATGTGGGAGAGAAGATTGATAGTTTCGTATCAAGCTTTCCAAATAACTCTTGAGCCAATGCACATTTGAAATTGGAACTAATAAAATTCCAGGTGGACCTCACAAGATCCTTCATCTTCCGCAACTCCAAGCAGACTTACACAGGCATCCCTGTCATTGCTGCTAACATGGACACAGTGGGGACGTTTGAAATGGCCAAACAGCTGGCTAAGGTGAGTCTCTCAGTGGCGAAATGGTCGCTTCTAAGGACAAGCGGGCTAACCCAGGTTTTGGGGGTGTCCAGAAATCTTGACCCACACCAAAAGTGGGCATTGCCCTATCTAAAGGAGAAGTTTGGTTTAATTTGTGTGTATACATATATTGTTTCGTTATAGAGAAAACTCTCCTTGCCTTTTAAAAAAATTGAACGAGGGGCAAAAACTTAACCTTACCTTCGATTTTCTCAAAACAGCATATTTCAGGATAGCCCCATTATGCAAAAAAGCGACCAAATCCGTGTGTGTGAATATCTGTCGTACTGCTTGAGGTCTTAGTGGCAGGAATCTAGGGGAAAGTAAGAGAAGTGGTGAACATAATATATTTGAACCATTTAAAAGAAATAAGTCTTCCCATACTTTGAAATCAACAAGTTTTTGTCCCCAGTGTGATCTGTAGTCAATGAAGAGTCGGTCCAATTGGTCAATAAAATTGGTTAACGTGGCGTAGTTGGCGTAGTCTGTGTCTGGTTTGAACGTGTGGTAGTTGGCGTAGTCTGTGTCTGGTTTGAACATGTGGTAGTTGGAGTAGTTAATGTCTGGATAAGTCTCTGTAGTCTGACCGTTCTTTCTTCTAATATTTATCCGAACACTATGTTTAGTCTCCAGTCATTTTTGAGTCCACAGTAAGGCTAAGGGAAGGGGGGGGGGGGTGTCTTTTTCTTTCTATTATTCCTTTTTTTCTTTTAAAAAAATCCTATTCCGGGGTGCTGTACGAAAAAGGTTACAAGACAAACTCTCAGCATATGTGAAAATAAAAAGTACACTGGATGGAATGAGGAGTTGAGCTATGGCTGAAAACATCTTTTGTTTGTTAGTGTGAGGTTTGGCTATGCAAGGTTGCTATTTAAATCTGGAGTTCTTTTATCTGTTACAAAATAAGAAAATCTAATTTTAAAATCCTCAAAACTTTGACCCAGTGCACAGCATTATGCAAGTCTTGTAGTGGAGGGAAGGGTAAAAAAGTGATGCCTTATCTGCGATAAGATGGCGGATGTGTGTAGATGAAATGGACGTGTGTGTTTGAAGAGGCGTGGGACTGTATTTCTTGTTGCTTTTTTTAGGTTTGCAGGAGAAGCATTTATGCATTTCACTTTAACTTTAGCATAAACACAATACAAGAAGCAAATATAGGCTGCAGTGTCATCTTAGGCCTACATCTATTGAAATTTCTTTACTTGCTCAGCAAAACTGTATTGAATGGAGAAATGGAATCCTTTGTGCTTACCCAAATGTTTTCATACAAAAGTTTTGGTTGTTTGTAGAGCTAGAAAATTGGCAGTTTGTTTGGGGGGGGGGGGGGGGGGGCTTCAATTTTCTTTCTTTGTCATTGTATTTCATTTGGTCTGTGTATGGCATCTGTATTTATTTTTCTTCCTTTCATTAGTTTGATGAATAACCCCTCCTTTCTTTCTCTCTCTTTCTTTCTTTCTTTCTTTCTTTTCTTCAAAAGTGTTCAATGCTGTCTTTGAAAAAATATGTTTGCATCTAGTTAGTTAGGCATTATAATAGGCCCATAGAAAAAAGAAGTCAGGATGACTCACACATGGAAACTACTACACGTGTATATTGTATGTGCCTGTGTTGTTAGTAATGGAGAGACTGGTACATTGGGGGGGATTTAGAAGAAAGGAAATTGTGGGAATATAGTGGGAATATAGTGGGAATTTAGTGGGCATATTGTGGGAATATAGTGGGAATATAGTGGGAATTTAGTGGGCATATTGTGGGCATATAGTGTGTGAGTTGCTCAGAGGAAAAGAAGACAGAAGAAAACAGGAAAAGCCACCAAGAAGAAAAACAGGGAGCGTGGGTAAATCTGAGGAGGGGCAGACATGACAAGCCAATTCATCACTTGGTTGTTTATTATAGTCATAAAAGAGAGATCTGCAAAACCCCAGCAAATCCATCATATCTATAATGATCAAACTCGAATCTTTTATGTAGAGCCGATCAGACATTGATCTTCAGAGCCCGCACAGGACACTTACACACCAACAAGCACATAAACAGAATCAACCCCATGTGGGAACCGCATTGCAGACACTGTGACTACCACGAGGAGACCGTTGAACATCTTCTCCTTCACTGCCCAAACCTGGCAGTTCTTCGACGCAAGCTCCTACACACACCTACAGACTTACAAAGCCTGCTCTACTCTGGCGTTGACCAGATGACAAGGACATGTGGTTACTTGAGGGAGGCATTGCGCTGCCAAGAGCGAAATGCTCGCAGCTAAATGGATTTGAAAACAACAACAACAACAACATAATGATCAAACTTTAATTTATTGCAAGGATCAGCCATGTCATAAATATTAAATAGGTCCTGAATTATGAAGATCTATAGAGAGTAAAGTTTGTAATACTGGAAAATTGGATGACAAAGTTAGCTACGTACAAAGGTGGAAGGAACAGCTTTCCGTGTACTAAAAGTGCAGTAAGAGTTGAAGACCTTTTATGAAAACTGAGTTCAGTTGTGAACCTGTGTGATAGCCTAGCCCAGCATTCTGTGTAAAAGAATTATGGGACTTCATGCTGTGAAAGATTTGTGTGGATGTAATCAGGGATAGCCAAACTCTGTGATGCATTATGTGTCACGACGCAGTGTAATCAGGTGTTCGTCAATTTTTAAGTATCTGGAGTTACTGGTATCATCTTCAAGCTTTTTCATTTGTCTTTTCATTGGTGGAGGTGGGAGTATCCAGGTCTCAGGGGTAAGATAGGCGGGAAAATGGCCGCCAAAGTTTAGTTATTTCTTTACCTTGAGAGTCCATGGAAACAGAAAATTTACTTTTTTATGTACCTTTAATCCACATTTTTCAGTACAATTCACACAGAAATGTGTTCTTTAATGAACAAGGAAGGTGCTGAGCCAGAAAACAAAAATTCTATAAAAATTTCCAAACCTACGTGAAAAAATGCCTGTTTCTTCGATTTCACTATTTTGACAAGCGCCTGCCTGATTTCACCACGATGCCTATATACATATATATATATATGTTTGTTTTTTTTGGTCTTTTTTTCAGCACCTGATGTTCACTACCATCCACAAGCATTACTCTGTGGATGATTGGAAGGAGTTTGCCAAAGAAAATAAGTCAACACTGGAGGTATATTTTATTAGATTTCTTTTTTTTTTTTCAGAATTACTTTTTGTGGGACGTGTGAGCTTGTCGTGGTGGTGGTATCATCAGATCCAGGGAGGTGAACCCGAAATTGTGTCACAAAGCTGAGAGCTGGTTACTTTACTTGTGCTTAATTGCAACCCTCCATGCCAGGTCGATTCTTTAGGATTATTTATAGAGAGGAACTTGCCATGCTGATATACATTGAAAAAACTTGAAGTTTTAAATTCTTTTAATGCGAGTTCATTTGCCTCTGGGATATCTTAAACTATATTTTGGCATGCTTGACTTACAACCTTACTACCGGATTTGATTGATTATGATGGTATTGAGTGTGTATACACAGTTTCAGTGAATGATCGACATCCTTTTCTGCTCCAGTTTGACATGATGATATATTTTCGTCTTTCTTTGCTGATGAAAGCCGTCAAAGTGAATATTTCGTTAACACATAAACCTGGTTACTGTTGTCACAATGAGGTCTCCAAGAATCTAATAATAATATAATCAGGATAGTTACGGTGTGCACTTTGTTGGTGACAATATTAATAAGTTACCGGTACTTTTGTTGGTTTATTTGTTTCCATTTAGTAATGTTTGTGAATACTAACATTGGATCTCTCTTCCTTTTCGATCATCATCAGCACGTGGCTGCAAGTTCCGGTATATCAAGCGGTGACCTAGAAAAGCTCAGTGCCATTTTGGAAGCTGTGCCTGAGATCAAGTACATCTGTGTCGACGTCGCCAACGGTTACTCCGAGCATTTTGTCCAGTTTGTGCGGGATGTACGCAAGAAGTACCCGTCTCATACCATCATGGTACGTGGTGTGGCTATTTGAGACTGGTCGCACCTCGGTGCTTTCTTGTCGTGTCTCCATTTTTTGTAACATTGAAAATGTGACTTCTTCTTAAGCTCACTCTTTGTTATGAACTGTTTTCACTGTTATTAAAAATGGAGATGCGACAAGAAAGCACTGAGGTCGCGAGATATTCACAGCACCTTGCTCTTTTCCTTGTGAGTGAGTACAGTCCAGTCATAGTTCAATACTTTGCTTATTGTCTGATGAACTCGTCTTTGAGCTCAGTATACAATGTTCACAAGAGTTGCAGAAGACAAAAAGAAACTTCATTATTTGATCTGACAACAGTGTTTAATCTTGTCCCCTTTGGTGAAATATTTTTAATTTATTATTTATTGCTGTCATTGCTCTTTACCTATTACTCCATGTGCTGACAAACTGACATGTGCCTGATTCTACTGTGCCATAACCCACATATATATGTGTGGCACGACTCGATGGAATCAGGCTCTCGTCAATTTTTGGGCATATGGACTAGATGGTATCATCTTAAAGCCTGTCCATTTTCCTTGTTTTAGGTGAAAATAACATCCATGTATGTTGAATAGAAGTCGATATATGTGTGATTGAAGGAGGTGAGGGTCGTCTGATTTCAGGTAAAATTAGTGAGAAAATGGCAGCAAAAGACGAATTATTTCTTTAGCTTGAGAGTCCGCGGAAACTGAAAATTAACACGTTTTCTGCCTTTAATCAACGTTTTTCAGTAAAATCCACACAGAAATGTGCTCTTTAATGGGCATGAAAAGTGTTGAGCCAAAAAACAAAAATTAGATGAAAATTCCCAAACCTGCGGAAAAATGCCAATTTCTTGACTTTCGTTGTCTTGACGAGTGCTTGATTTCACCACGCTGCCTCACATATAATCATATATTCGAGTATTTAGATTCTTCCCATATTTTTTGTGCATAAGTGTCTGCCACTCCTGAGAAGTATAGGTTACTTTACACTTACGGAGAATTGTTTTACTTTAGAAGTTTGAAATGATTTCCCTGGTTTGTTTCTCTTGCTTTTGTCCAGGCGGGGAATGTAGTGACAGGGGAGATGGTGGAGGAACTTCTGCTGTCCGGCGCTGACATCATCAAAGTGGGCATTGGGCCCGGCTCTGTGTGCACGACCCGCAAGAAGACAGGCGTGGGATACCCTCAGCTCAGCGCCGTCATAGAGTGTGCCGACGCAGCGCACGGGCTAGATGGTCACATCATTTCTGTAAGTTGGCTTTTTTTGACTCGTTGACAGTAGGCAGAGACTGAGATGTGGTTTATCTGTTTTGATACAGTCTTCACAAATTCCATTGACATTCACGGACTTAAACTGGTCTTTTTCTTTGATTATATTGCTGAGACTTTTTGAGACCCTTTCTTTTGTGATTTTCGATTTTTGAGGATGGGTCCCTTTTGAGCGCTGGGAATTATGCATTTTGGTCTCGGTTGGGATAAAATTTCTTTTTTGCACTAATGAATTGATGAATTAAATGGATGTTAAAGACGGAATAATTTGATTTCCTGGTTTTTATTTTGCGTGCACTTTTGCTAGTGGTCCTTACCTGTTTGTGAAGACTCCATTTTTCTCAAACTTGATTTTTTTTTGGTGAAGATTTCGTAGCTGCACTTGCTTTTTTTGCTCTATGGGTGACGAGTGTGAAAACAAAAGTGCAGCCTTCTGTGTATATAATGTTCACTGTTACATTTTTGGTGAGCCCGCGCCATACCTTACGAAGACTGGACAAGATGTAGTGGGCTCTAGAGGCAGCTGTGAGAGCCTGAGATCTATAGAGACAAAAGACTTGACTGGACTGTTTTGTTTTTGTCGTTTTTGTGTTGTGATATTGGAAGGTGTTAACATTGAAAACTTCGAAAGGCAAATACTTGTTTGAAAATTTTTATTTTTTTTGGCATTTGAATGTTCCTTTTTTTTTCTAACTTGATGTATCACTTTGTGATAAAGAAAAAAAAAGAAATACAAAGAGGCATGTTTAGTTTAGTTTTAGAGTAAGGTTTTACGGCGCTCGCAACTGCTCTCTCTCTCTTGCCCTTTTTAGCTCCCAGTGGAGCACAGGCGATCAACAACATTACTCCAGCAAAGCCTGTCCTGAGCATCCTTTTCTATCTGTTTCCATGATGTCCCCGCTTTTTCAATTTCCGGCTCGCAACTGCATAAGGTCATATTATGAGCGCCCGGAGGCATGTTTAATTTTTCCGTGTTTCCGCCTGTTATTTCTTCAGATGGAATCTTAAAATTGGTTTGTTCTGTTTTTCAATGAACAAGATAATATCTTGTGATAATCCACAATCTCCCTTGCCCTCCCTAGGATGGCGGCTGTACGTGCCCCGGAGACGTGGCCAAAGCTTTCGGGGCCGGCGCTGACTACGTCATGCTAGGGGGGATGTTGGCGGGGCACTCCGAGTCCGGCGGGGAGACCATCGAGAAGAACGGCAAGAAGTTCAAGATTTTTTACGGGATGAGCTCAGCGACTGCCATGAAGAAACATGCTGGAGGAGTTGCGGAATACAGGTGGGCTAGTTTGTGTGGAGTACAGGTGGGCTAGTTTGTGTGGGGTACAGGTGTGGTGGTTTGTGTGGAGTACAGGTGTGGTGGTTTGCGTGGAGTACAGGTGTGGTGGTTTGTGTGGGGTACAGGTGTGGTGGTTTGATTGGAGTACAGGTGTGGTGGTTTGTGTGGAGTACAGGTGTGGTGGTTTGTGCGGAATACAGGTGTGCTAGTTTGTGTGGAGTACAGATGGGCTAGTTTGTGTGGGGTACAGGTGTGGTGGTTTGTGTGGAGTACAGGTGTGGTGGTTTGTGCGGAATACAGGTGTGCTAGTTTGTGTGGAGTACAGGTGGGCTAGTTTGTGTGGGGTACAGGTGTGGTGTTTGTGTGGGGTGTTTGTTTGTTTTTGTTTTTGTTTGTTTTTTTAGGGTTTTTTAAAAAGAATTAACCCTATTATTGTCAATAGTAAACTTGTACTGCTGCTTTTTCTTTCCTCATCCTTACTGTCATAATTTTCCTCTATTTCTTTTGTATGTTTGTCACTCTCTTGTGAACTGCTATTTCTGGGGTGCCTGGATAGTCAAAGCAGAGTTTGTGGTGTGTTGAGGCTAGAGAGGTGAGCAGAGTAAGCTTGATTCCCCGTTTGGACTTCTCTGTTGACATCCACCCCTTGGCGCTCCTGTGACCTTATGCAGTTTTGCGAGCGCCGTAAAACCTTACTAAAACAAAAAATGACAGAAATTTTAATGATTTTTTTTTCGCCAGAGCTTCTGAGGGCAAAACTGTGACAATTCCGTACCGCGGTGACGTGGAGCACACGATTCAGGACATCCTGGGCGGAGTGCGGTCCACGTGTACGTACGTCGGGGCGTCCAAGCTGAAGGAGCTGAGCCGGAGGACAACCTTCATCCGGGTCACGCAGCAGCTGAACGAAGTCTTCACCCCAAACACCACCGAACATTAGAGCCACGCTCGACCGTCGAGTCAGGAGAGAGATGCTCGACCATCCAGAGGTTCTGTTTGATGAAGTGGCGACAAGACGTGAGATACTTGAAACTTTTCCTCCCCTGTGTGCTCAGATAGAAATGTAAGAACATTGGTTGAAGTATGTTCACGACTACAAACTTGGTAGCTGCGATCCTGTGCGAAACATTTTTTAGTTTGTTGGAAAAGTATTTTGGTTATGAAAAACCCTCTTTTTACCCTGAATTTGAGGATACAATAAATTTTAAGAATCTCTTTTGTGCACCCGTTGAAAAACAAGAGTGGCTTTTAACGAGTGCTGTTAGCCGTTAGCAAAATATGTATGTGTGCTCCTTTGTCAAGGTCAAGTGAGTGGCACAGACTTCAGTACATGTGTGTCACTGTTTGCTCGCAGTTGCTTTGAGAGTGCAGTTGTTACTGTCGATGTGTGTCGTTTTCCCAAAAGAAATCCTGTAGTCTTTATGACCTCCATGTTTTGAACATTTACTTCCAAGTGTTGAACTGACAGTCTCTAGACTGGAGAAGTTTTGTGCGACCTCAGTGCTATATATAGAACATATAGGCCTACATCGCGACCTCGGTGCTTTCTTGTAATATCTCCATTTTTTTAACATTGAAAGTGTAACTTCTTCTTAAGCTCACTCTTTATTATGAACTCTTTTCACTGTTTTTAAAAAGATGGAGATATGACAAGAAAGCACTGGGGTCGCGATTGGTTCATCGTAAGTGATCTTCTCTGTGGTGTCTGATTGGTGAATGTTGTCCGGGATTGTTGTTATCATCGTTGCTACTTCCCAGTTCTCACATATCGTCCGTGATTGAAATCTCATGTAGTTACGCTTCAGCCAAAGTAGGTGTACGATTGAATTGTGCTAATGTTTGAATCAAGGGGCATTTCTTCTTACCTTCTTTTATGATCAAATTGAGTTTAATTCTTTTTTCTTTTGAAAATCTTTTCTTTTCACTACAATGCTTGCTTTAACTTTGTATACCATAAACGCTTTTTTGCTTCTTTGCTTCTTTTTATACTTTCATCAGTCTAATGGCATTGTCAATAAGTTTTATGTCAAGAATTAGTTTATAATGTTGCTTTGGAAAATTACTTTTTTTTTTCATTGCAAGCTGGATTATATTATATATATATATAT